TCACAACGCAACCGCCCAATCGCACACCACAACCATTTGAAACTTGATTAACGTGTTTCCTGCACATCACTCTCATTTTTTAAAATTTTGCATGTATGTCATGTGCTTCTTAGATTCAATTAATGGTGTGTGGTGAATCAATTACAAATGGCCACACTTAATCCCTGTCATAGACAATGGATGGCATCAATGAGGGCAAATCAGGTATTTTAAAGAAGAAGTGTTATATTATGGCATCCCTGGTCAATTACTTTTGATTGTGACTCAAAGTTCATTGGACATTTATGGAAGGACTTTTATGGAAAGAAAATAGGGACTTAACTTAGCATCTTAATCATCCCCCCAAAAAATGACCAAATAAGTGGTTACATTGCAGTTCGGTTTGGATAACTCTGTGGCGATGCTTAATTGCAACAACCTAAAGAATCGGATTTGGTAGTACCTCTATTGCTGACTTTTCTTTATTAACAAATCTAAAAACCACACTGCTCAACTGAGTCCATTATTGAGATTGTTAATGGACAAAGTCCAAACACTTTTTCGATCTAGTTCCATTACAAAATTCAAGAATGCTAGCATGAGAGCTGAAGAAATGACTGATATATCATGTCCATACATGAGAAAGTGCGATTGACAAATTGAAATAACCAACACAAAGATAAAGCAGTTGCAGATGTTCATAGTTTGCAAGGTTAACTTTTAAAAAAGGAAGATCAACTGTGGATTTGATTAACAATAGATTGGTTCCAGCAAGTCTAAACTATAAGTTGCATATCGAAAAATTGAGACCTTGCTAGAATTTTTGAAACAAAATCAATGCCTTACCAGCTGCAGTTGGCCAACACATTTCACGCCTTCAGATGTTTTAATGTTTCAAGCATCTCCATCGTTTACAAGGGTGACTTGTCTGAGGATTTAAACTTGAGGGCAAGTTTCTCGCACGAGGCGGGTCTAAATACAGTGGGTTGAATCCTTTTCAAGTAAAAGATTTGCGTTTTCTAAACAAGAAGTATGGAGTTGT